GCCATACCCGGTTTGTGAAACTGAGACGGAAAACAACAACAAAAACATCTCCATTCAAATATCCCATTTATTTTGTTTCCTCTTTTCTATACAAAATGATGCATAAAATGTGACGTATCAGCCAGTTGCTGAGTCACCGTCATTTTCGTCCTGAAGATTACTAAGATCAGGTGGTAAAATAGATCACACGATGAACAAGAGTGTCATGAGTTGCACACCACTAACGTCTTTTTTACTATTCACTCCACATCTTTTCTCCAGGATCTAGTTCGTGGCACGTCAGAGAACAACAACTATCCCTGGCCATCAGATTTGCAACAATTTGCCGCGGAATGCCGTCGGTTCACTCGTCTGATTTCTCAGAATGTCTGCATTCCACCCACATGGCTTTCCAAATCAACAGTGTCGTTCAATCGTACCACTAACTGTGTGGATTTTGTTCCGGATCTGGCCTCCTTCGAGCCCCGAACCACCGGCATTTTGTACATGACCCCGAAAAAATCCCACGAGGTGGCTCGTATGACAGCATTTCTACAAAGCTTATTGTTTGAGCAAACTGATTTGTTAGGCGTTGAAACTGTCACCGAGCAGGACGTCAAAGCGACAGACGGTAATGTTTGCCTTACCGGAACGTTCCAAACCGGTTCGCTTCTTCACCAATCCGGGTCAAACATGCCAATGAAACACGGTATGTAAGTTTTCGTTTTTTTTCCGCTTTAAGCTTTCAACGTTTCCGTTTCTGTTCAAACAAACATTGTGCCCATCTGCTCTTGGTGCACAATTCACAATCCGATAATGGGAAGGAGCCCGTCGTTATGGCTAGTTGGATGAATCCGTACTCTGGATAAGAATGAGGCTGACAAATGGGAATCGAAAACTGGTAGAGAACGGATTCCAGTTAAAGTTACACAAACAAAAATAGATCTGTATTTCCGAGACAAATTGTGAAAAAGCTCTGATCGAAATATCAGTTTTTTTCCCGTTTCGAGCTACGAATCAATTCTAAGTGAAAGTCTTCAGTTGTGGTCACTTGTTGTATTTTGCAACAACGAAAATACGGTAACATTGACTTGGACCTTTAAAAATTCTGGCTATTTCGGGGATTCGGAGCTACGGATACATCGATGTAGGTAATTTCAAGTTATACTTATTTCACACTTGTAAATCACAGTTGAAGGAGTAAAAGCTTTGGGTTCGTTTTTGTTAAATTTACCGGTGCAAAGGCAAATAGTCGTCATTAGATGCAGAACGTTCTGCATCACTTTGGTCGACGGTCAACGTAATATGCTCGTGGAATATAATTAGCGGTTATATGAGAACAACGATGGGTCAGTATGTAGTAAACTGTTCAATCAAAAACATCTTAGATGGGCAAGAGGGAGGGAAAGCGTGCTGCTCACTGCCAACGTAGATTCATCTTGTGAGTTGACTGTTTTTTTTTGTCATGACATTGTTGCCATGAGCACCAGAAATATTTAAAGATAACAACAATAACATCACTTTGAATGAATCGGTAAGGTCAAATCACCCTGCTGATTTTATTTATTATTATTATTATTATTATTATTATTATTATTATTATTACCATTATTTTATTTTGTCTAATCCATGTTGATTACGTTATTGATTGAATGATTCATTTCGCAATGTGTACTGATATTCCCTTCGGGGGACAACGATTTATTTTACTGAAGTTTTATCGTTAGTGCTACTGAACTGGCACATAACATGACGGCGGTGGTGGCCAAGTGGTTAGGTCACCGACTTGTGATCTATGAGACCCAGTTTCGAAGCGTTTCACCACCGCCTGTCTTCCCAGGCACCCTTTGTATGACCGCGGCCCCCCTTCCTGAATCTTGACGGTACATTTGTATGTTCAATAAATAAAAAAAGGAAGTAAAAAGACATTTGACGTTTGTATTCTTCGAGCAGTGAGGTGGGAGGGGGCAACTGTTTGGTCGTTTGTGCCATAATACTAGGCATGTATGTGTATTTAAGGGTCGATTGGAAGCAGTAGGTAAATAAATTAAACTGGTTTCCTTCGCACTGTCATTATTGGTTCCGCCAGAGTCTGTGGCTCACGGGGTCGTTCTACAATGTTTTCGGGGTATCTACGAAAGTTTCTTTGATGAACTTGTATTCATTTTGTTATTGTTCTGTGCGAACTTCGCTTGTTTTTGTGAATCACCATTAGTGCTAGACAGCTTTGCTATCCTCCCGTTCAATACCACGCCCAACCTAGTAGGACCTTATGTGTTTCGCCACTCCTAGTCCCAGGGCTTAGGCTCCATCACTGAATAGCAGGTCCTCGTGATTATGTGGTTTATCGCGTATGCTTTTCATCACATCAAAGTTTGTAAAATCTGGTCCTCGCCTATGGGCGATTGGTTCAACGTTCGAGGGTTGCGGGTAACGTTCATTCCAGTTTGTTTTACGGTTGCAGTTTTTGATTCGGATGTCTGATCGTGTGTATAACAAAAAGAGTCCTATTCCGTTTTGTGAGATCAATACTCACTTCTTACCTCTTACAATATTTGTCTTCTTTCTGAACGTTCATTTTCTTATCCGCGAAATAATGAACGAATACATCCACTGTGAATTCCTGCAAGTCGCATTCGGGGTCTTCTCCCAATAGATATTCCTCGCAAGAATCCGCTCTTTTCGACGTCATTTCCCGGACATTTGGAGCTCCGAAAAGGATCTTTTGTTCTCTGTTCATTGTGATCTCAATCAAAAGGCAAATACTTTAAGGTATCTACTAGCCATTTTCATAGCCGAACAACATCAATATCACCCACCTCTGTACCACGCTGATTGCATGTGACCTTTCAACAATAGATCGACAATTCTTCCAGTTTACAGTGCAGAGCTCCGTGACGAATTTCGGTCGGTGCACAGGTCAAACCACTCAGGCAAAAAAATGCACTCAGCGTAGTTTACAGGATGGTGTGTGCATAAGACTGTGACGAAACTCCAGAGAGCACGTGAAAAGTGTGGATAACCGAAAAGCCGTTAATTAGGAAGCGTATCTACATATCCCATTTTGAAAAGGTTTTTTCGCAGTTTATGATACTTGCGGCACACCATAGAGGAGCCTTCTACTACTGCTTCACTATTACGCCAGTTTCTTAAACAGGGCGCTTAGTCTGTGATGTACGAATCTTAGATTACGGAAAATCCATAGTAAACTTTGTTCCGAGTGTGCAGCAGACAACTACTGAAACGGATACGCGGGATCTCGGAGTGCACGCATTGAGTGGAACTCTCAACGGATAGGAGGATTTTTGTTGAGCCGATCCACAAGCAGTCTGCAACGAATGAGAAACATGGAACCAAAGGTTCAAACAAACACGGACATGACTCGTACTCAAACTGAAATGTTTCTGTTCGAATCTGACGTGGAATGCATCGCATCCTGATCAATGCAGTAGTTCTACATTCGTTCCACATGATGTCCAGAGCACGTTTGGTATACAAAATTGAAGTGATCAGAATGAAATAAAACGTACGAGGAAAACTTAGGGTATCACAATAAATAAATAAATAACCTTTCCCAAGGGGGACATAGAAGAGAATGAACCGTTTTCACCGGGGGATGTGCATTGCTTTTGTCGTGCTGTGTACGCTCTCTACCATAGTCCCACCCTGTCGATCGTACGGATAAGATTCAACTGACTTGGTTAATTAACATGTAAATTTATTTGCACGTGAACAATAAGGTTCAATCACAACAACATAGATCATCCAAAGTTCCCTCTTTTTTGTTGATGAATCGCTTGATTAAATGATAGGATAATTGTGATCGATCCGGTATCAAAATGACCAGATGACATGCAAAACGTAGAACCACTCACCTGCCGGAGTACACTGTGAAGAAAGAGTTTCACAGCCTTACTGCGTCTAGTCCTGATCGTATGCAGCAATCAAACTATTCATTGATTTCATCTAGACGAGACCCCATATTTCCGTTCCAACGAATTCATCTTGGACACGTTCGTGCGCTGGTAGTTGTCATAATTTATCCTCTTAACCGGGGCAGCTATTCAGAATATCCTTTAATGATCCGAAGAACTTATCTCGTCTGAGCAATCAAAGTTCCAATCAGATAAAATTCAATCATTGTGCACTCCATTTGCTTTTGATCCTTACGTTTACGTTCTCAAGTACAATAAAGTTTTGCTTAGGCTTTCTGCAAAGTTCAAGGATACAGTGAATGACCTGAATAGATCTATCTCCAAATATTTTCAGACAGTTACAGCCAATCTGCTATGTCGCACTCCTCAGGCATTCGGAAAATCGGGTATGTTCGAGAAACTGCGACATAGCATGTTAGTCAGTAGCAGATGCTATTAAGTGGTATGAAAAATCGGTTGACAGAATAAACCGGGCCGATGAATAGTACATTGCATCCGGTATTCAGCCCTTTTCAGTTTCAATGTCTAGTTATCCGGAAACTACTTACCTTTGTAGTGTTTCGATCAGAGAGAAGTCTCGTGGAGCTCGGACTGAATTATATTTATGCAATGCGTGGTAACACTAGGAATATGGAATGGTTACAATACAAAATATAATGTCCTGGTCTTCGTTCTCCGTTTCTTGTATCACTGTGCCAGGCGTTACGCGACTTATACATACTGTAAATGG